GTTGGTCTCGCTGACAGGAATGAGCTTGTTGCAGTTGTTCATCGTGAAGTCGAGTATTCGAGGCAGATCTTTTTCGAAGAGACTAGTTAGCGTGGTCACTAGAATTTTGGGCTCCTTGACGGCCAACCAGGAATTAACGTAGGGCCACCAGCCAAGGTCCATCACGTCATTGTAAACCATGCCAGCACGAGAAACTGTGGCTGGTGAGGCCACTGCCAAGTCCTCTACTTCGAAAAGTAGTGACACCTGCAATTGGATACAATGCGCCACCCACGTTATTCTTGAGCTAAAACACCTTTAACTTAGCCTAAGGTTATCTATGAGTACAGCGTGGTGAAGTTTAACTGACAGTATAATCCACATTATAAGGTTACAAAGGAACTAAATAATTCTTTGCAACCCAGAAAATCATTCATACAATTGTGACTGCATAATTACATTTGAGTTCATTATTCTAGGAGTGGCACAAAAATTGAACAGTACAAAAGGTAATCTATTGCATTTTACTAGCCGTAACTTTGGCATTTGAGTTTCAAATATTTTAATGTGATGCAGCCATTACACTGGCTAACAATTGCAGCAGGATCATGGACCCGTGTGCATCATGCATTGTGCTCAGTGATCCGAGTTGGAGTGAAAAAGGATTTGATGGCAATTTGGCTTCGATGTTACGAGTGAAAGACACGAAGAACTAACCTGATCAGGCATGGAGATTCGCTCTCCGTTAATAAGGGTCAAAATCTTATTATCATCCATCACCGAGTTCATACTTTCAATCCACAAAGCATCCACTGGACCATCAAAGAGTATCCATTTGTAGTCGGGTTTTTCATCTACAATTAACTTTTTATTACAATTTTAATGTGTTGAGTTGTCAGATACATCATATTTGTAATCCATTACCTGCGCAAGCTTGACGCATAAGACTTGAAAGTATTCCGTCACTCCACTCATTTGTTGAAATGTTAAATTCTCCATAAAGCTCTCCAAGTGATACAGCCTTTGGGTTAAGAGGATAATCCCAGACTCGAAAGAATCCTTCGTGTCCAGCCTCCATCATTTTGCGATGAGTCAGTTGCAAAACCTTCCAAGTGGCTGATTTGCCTGATAGCGTCTTCCCAACAATCATGACCGAGTGGCGAGAACTCTGTGTCTCGTACAGTTCAATCACCTTAGATACTGTAAATTTCGTGGCCTGTAACCTCAATTCTTTAAAGGCTTCCTTAATCGCGTTCTTCATCTGAGTGAAAGAGATTTCCACTTGTTACGCTTATCAAACTTCAGTATTTAGTTAGCAATGACTTTTACATTGTGCTAGTACCAAGAAATTCGTGCCAAATGCCTAATGTAGCCGACTCTAAGATCCTTTTGGATGCTCAGTAAATGTCAAGTTATTACTTGTAATTTTGGGAGATCATATTATGTGCAGTCGACTTGAGTTCGCGAGTGGCACAGTAAATCCTAAAATTGATGATATAATACATCAGTGTTTGCTAATTATTTAACGTAAAATTAAGCGTATATCAATTTTGTTACATTCAGACACCAGCGAAAGGTAGGCGCGCGTTGTTAAACAGTCGCTAAGGTCGAAATCCGATCCCATTATGCACACTCAAATTGGCAACATCTTCCGGAATACAATGCAACAGACACCTTAAAGTCGCACAGCCTCAGAATCGCTAGCATCTAGCAGTGACACGACCCAGACAACTAACGTACATCTGTGTAGTCGATAGCAGGGGCCTCAACCCCTGGGAAGAGGTCAGACACAATGCCTCGGAAAAGCGGCAAATCAACAGAGGTGAGCTTGGCCAGATTCATGTCATTCATAGAGAGGAGAAGGATCTCCTCGTCTTGCATTCCTGGATTTGCACGCTTTCTGCGACCGGCGTAGCGCAACACAGAAATGAGAGCTCTCAGTCCAAAGTCATAGTGATCCTGTTTGCTTAGCTGTTGGTTGCAGAGGCTGTAGAGTGTGAAAACCTTCTTGGCCAGCACCTATTTTTTAAATATAAGCAAGAGAAGACGTAAATGCCTAGAATTCTAAAACCCTTGTTCCAACTGATTGATCATCCAAAGCATGTTGTGATGCTCGTGATACAATGTCCCTAAACAGAGCTAAAGCTCAAACTTTTCCGTCTTAAATGGCAAAAAATCAGAATGAGCAGCAGGAACCATCGACCTAAGATCAATGTCGTGAGCCAGTCTGGGGTTAGACTAATCTTGTCCTTGCATTCGCTCGTAAAGGAGTTTGCAGCAGCGTCACATGGCAGAATTATTCGCATTTAATATAATTTTTCCGAATGGACTGAAAACAGTAGCTCAGTGGACATTGATGAATCGAGTAAATCTGATTCGCATTATGACAACATTGATACTTTAAAGGCTTTCCTTTGTTAATCCAAACAAAATTCAAGTAGCTCTGACATGAATGCAATCAAATGAACATACTTTACAGGCATCGAAGCCCTCCGCAAAGAGGGTAATCTCGGCAATCATAGTGAAATCAGGTACAACCATGGCGATGGGGCGAAACATCGACTTCAAATTATCCGGCAACTCGGTGCGACCCGCATAACCAGGATTCATAGTGATGAATATGCCACAAGACCAGACCAGTTTAACCATTCTTCCCTCAAACATGAAACGAATGCTGGAAGGTACGCCTTTACCTTTGGGCAAAGAGGCCAGTGCTGACAGAATGGCCAGAATTTGTTGCGCCACCACTGATAACACTTCAATGTTGATTCTTAAGAGTAAGAAGGAGGATAACACAACAAACATGTTATGAAAAGCCAAACTTTGGGTACTGTGAAACCATATGCATGGCTCTTATATGACCAATAATGTCCTTAACCATGCAATATTCTTCTTTTGATTATTTGGTAATATTGCCAAATTTACGGACTCAACATTACACGACCACACCTGTAAATTGAAAATTATTTCTCTAGCCTGTATCATAGATGTTTATAAAAGATGATGGAGTAAGTTGAATTGTGGAGCAAACGATCTCACTCGCCTTATCTAGACCCTTGAAATTTCTGCTATGGTTTTAGTGGATAAATACGTAAAACTGTCAATTTCACTATTCTGACCATAGTAGACCAAATTCAAGGATGGAAAACACGAATTCACCGATTAAACTCGTCGAAACAGCCCCAAGCGCCGGACTGCGCGAGACCCGAGAACATGCGCCCCATAGACTTGTAGTCGAGACCGTCGGAGCAGTTAATCACGATTACGTAGTCACCCAGATTCTTGCCTAAGTCCTTGGTTGTTTCCGTCTTGCCCGTGCCAGCAGGTCCCTTGGGTGAACCACCTCTGTTTAGACTTAGCGCGGTAGTCAGAGTTATGTAGCACCGGTCTGTGAGGGGAGTAATGACGAGACGACCCGAATTACCAAGGTATTCGTAACCGTAGTGGAAACTTGCATTGGTTTGCTTAACGTAGCAGTCGTCTTCTTCCTGACATGAGAACACCATTTAAGAAGCATACTATGTGTATGTGGTCAACCAGTACTTTTAGCACGTATTCTAACCTTTTCCCAGTAGAAGCGGAGTTGAGCAAGCCACTCAAAGGCACCAGTGTCTTTGCAAGCAGACTTGTAGAGCTTATCAATGATATCGCGCTGATGGACTTCGACAACTACGAGGGCGTTTATCTTCAGTCTTTGTATTTTGCTCAGATTGGATCGAATAGCCTCAGAGAATCGCTTCAAAATGGCCTTCTGTTTCTTTCTGATCATTCGAAGTGGCTTTTTATCATGGCGACGATTCACCTACCAAAGTGCGCACTCCGTTCTTAACAAAGTTAACTCTTATAAATCATGTAAAGCTCAAGCAGCAACGGCAACGTCAAAGTGATCATTCAAAGGCTGGATTTACAACCTAAGGATGGGTCCACAATAAGGACGTTTCATTACTCAGAACTGAGTAATAGTCCGTGCAGCACTGCTCTTAACAAGGGCTCAATTTATTCGGGCAGTGTAAAAAATTGTTTCATTCTTCAACTTCTATAACGAGGCACTAGTTAGTGGTAGACTATTTCTGCTGATCAAATAACCTAAGAGGATCATCTCCAAAACAATTTGCCGAAATGCTTATTAAAAAGTCAAGCCGCAAGCATACCATTATCAGAGCTTTGGTGACATCAGCTGTCCACTGAATCTGGCTTGTCGCAATGCAAATCTGCCCTGGCCACTCCTTGACAACCTTCTCTCTCTTAACACTAGCTTTTTTCATCACCAAACGACAGTCACGCAGGAGGTCTCTCAGGGTCTTACGCATTTGGGACTCGATTTCAAGTAACCACATTTCCACTGGACCCTCCATGTGGACGGTTTTCTTCCACGGAACTTCTTCTCCATCTGCAGAAATCATAGCAACCCCATCGAATTGAGTGTAAGTTATCTGAAAGGACGAAACCAATGTTAATCCCTTATTTGACCGATTTATGATGTGCTAAACTGACAAACAGGCGTACAAATTGAGTATTTGTTTTCTTTACGGTTTGCGTAACTGTATTATGGCCGCCAGTAAATAAACCTGAAGAGTAGCCTGTGGCGTTTAAGTTCCAGTCAATAACCGTGATGGCACTGCCACTCCGCGAGATGTTGTTGTCGCTGCCAGAGCTTCCAAAGTAGAGTTCCCGCATTTCACTTCTTCTTGTCACGTGCATGGCATTTGAATTAGAGAGTAGATGAATGCTGCTTTGATTGAGCTCCGACGGAACCTCACCAAAGGAAGGCTTCCCACTTTGGTTCAAGCGGTTAGCAGCACTCTCAACCGCTGCCTCTGGGGCTTCTTCATGCTCACCCGTATTTGGAGGAGATTTATGCTCCTCCAGGACAGTTAATGTTTCCTTATTTGGTATCATGTTTGCATCTTGGGAGGCTTCTTCTGTGCCTTCATAACTTCTATGCATATCCGTTGGTTGTTTGCGTAATATTTGCGGCTTTAGAGGAGAATGTCCCTTGGTAGCTGGAAGCTGCGTCTTCTTAATAGTCTTCTATTCAATGAAAACAAGAATGCCTTTATTGATAAGTGCATAAAAAGCATGATTTGCATGTTGTTGCTTCACTAAACTACAATCCCAATTAGCTGTGCATCTTTTCATCGACTCCTCTTCAATGACTCGAAATTGAGACCGAAATGTGCCAACCGACAAATAAATTATTGTTTGTTCCTTTTATTGCGTTCGGCAGAACTAACTATAGCATTTTTTGAGTCAGCGAGTATCCAGGATGCCAGCGGCATTAAACAAGAGAGGAGAAGCTCTTAAGCACGTTGGTGAGCCATTGTAAGGTTACTCATCGTTTGATTTACCTTGAAAGTAAAACCCAGGACTGAGTGGGCATGTTTGTACCATATTTGCGAGTTTTCTTAGAAATCAAAAAAAAATCAGCAGTTGACCTTTTTGCTAAAGGGAACAATAACCGCAGCGTCTCGCTACCTTTTACAGGCAAGAGAACGCATATTACTAAGAGTAAATACGTATGCTAGGACAAAAGGTAGAAGAGATTGGGCTTTGGACATGGCCGGTTACATTACCACAAGCTTTATCAGCAATCAAACAGTGTTATATTAACATTCCCTACCTGTAAGAGTAGGGGAAGTAACAGCGCAGAAACTCAAAAGAAAAGACCTTACTCTTTCCAACTTTACAGTATTGATGTTGTCAAAGCATTTCTTCAAATGAGGTATTACTGCCTCGGGATTCTTCCCTTGACCCAATATTTCAAGCAGATCGTCATTCGAAATGAAATAGAAACGGGGAAATGTTTGACGCTTCGTCTCAAGATACATATCTAGAGATTTTTCAATGACCTCAAACTTTTCATTCATTTTTACTAGAGCTTCGCATATTCCTAAAGTCACAATGAGACAAAAGATTATTGGCAAATGTATAAACTTTATGTACCTTTTAATTACACGTTGGTGGTGGGGCATACCCTCCAAATCAGAGCATCGCCGAGCGTTCTTTACTTCATTCATAGCTGTCATTATCCGTTTCCATTCCACATCAAGATCATCGAAGAGCGTTGACTCCTTGGGTAGTTGCTTGCGAATATCGTCTCCCATAAAAATAGTCTCCATGTAGAGCCATTGTCTTTGCACTGTGAGCAACAACTCGACAGTCTCTGTTATCTTTGAAAGAGCGCGTTCCCACGAATCCACTTCATGCTCAAATGGTTTTACAAATCTAGAAGACTTCATTGCCGATAGCTGAACCTAAAACATTTCCGATCCAAAAAGAGACGCTTAATCACATTTCAGTGTTAAGGTTTTCTAAGCCATCATTGTTGAAATTTGGCTAATATGTATAATTTATGGAGACTGTTGACATGGTATTTTAAGCAGGAAGCGACCTTATGTCCCTAAGACGTCACAGTATCTTTTACCTCTCATTGATAAACTCACTTGGTGGTCTTCAAGTATGGTGAAGAGATCATCAGTAGATCGCAATCTAAGGTGCCCTTTATCTTTGTAGGGTGTAATGTCCAGTTCAATGGTAAGCCAGACACCTCCAATTTTATTCAAAGCCTTCTCAATACTTAACTCCTTTGTTGCCGCTTGCGAGAGCTCACTAATGAAGACAGCATAACGATCGAAGCCAAGACTGATTATTTTTTCAAGCGTAAAAGTGTCGTCATTTTGGTCAAAATCTCGGGCCATCTCCTTGCGAATGGCGTCCCAGTGCCGAGGCCGCATCGCACTATTGCGTAGGTCGGATATCAGAGGAATCGTCCTTCTGAATTGATCGACACGATCCCTGCTTGCATCCAGCACTTCCCAGCGACGGCTCTGGCAAACATCGGATTCAGTCCCATTATCAAATGCACACCCAGAACAACTTTTGCAGTCGCATGCACCAGATTTCGAGTTCAGTTTAAGAAAATAGTCCAATTGTCGCATAATAACCGAAATCCCAATACGAAAGTGTTTAACTGCGAGAGCAATTACCATTTGCTTTAATTTGTCACGCTTCCTACACCTCTGATCCATGCCTACCCCTGTACTTACAATGCTATACCACAAAAGCGCACTACGGTTTCCGTGGATGGTCCTTGTCATAGCTATCAAGATATTAACACATTAAAAGATCTCATTTGTTTGCATCATTAATCTCATAGTCAACTTTTGCACAATCTACCTACAGTCACATTTCCAACACATTTTGATAGAACAATTAGGTACACCATTGAAAATCACGGCGTAACGGCCAATGCCCTCTATGCTTCAAAGTACTCCGTCTCAGTCTCTTCCAAGAGTACTGCTATCGGCAATCCTCTCCCACATTGCAGTAGACAACGGTGCTGCATCTCCAGACAGAGTAGCTTCTGATGCACTACGTGTGATCATTTTCGTTTGAAAAGATACACAAGAATATTGAAGAAGAGTACAGATGCGCTGTTGAGGATTTTATCACATTGAGCCTTATGAGAGGAGGGATTATTTCAGAGGACGTAGACGACAATTTTGTTACAGTTGAAGGGAGTAAGGGTAAGTAATCAGATACGGCAATTTTTGAAAACGAGCATCAATTTGTTTAAAGTTATGATCGCTGCCTTGATAGCCATCAACGACAATGTTAGCTGTATGCTGTTTCGTTTCCAAAATTCCCACTGCAAAGCACAATACTTTGACAGCAGAATCACTCTCAAAAAGAATGACTTTGTGTCTGTGGGTTTTAGTTACCACGTTAGTGTACAATGTTTAGTAATGAACAATGGACTTACTCTGTTATCGCGAGCAAGGCGAGTGAATTTCCGAAACATAGCCGTAGCAAGTGTTTCCATATCATCAGTCTGCAGATCTGAGAATTTCCCATACTTCCACGTCATCCACTTCTCTTCCCACTCCTTATTCCAAGTCCATATTTGTTCCAATAGATCTAATTCCTGTAAATAAGATAACATGATGCAAAAAATGAGTAGACCAAATCGCTAAGTGGAAATGAATTTAATTAATGCAAGCGACTTTTGAGAATAGTTGCGCTAACCTTTTGTATAAGCGTGGACTCCTTGCAGGGTTGCTGGTCTATCTTGAAGATGAGGAGGCCACTTCGAATCTCGTTTTCCTTCTCCGTCATCACGGCAAGCCGATCACGAAAACCCTGACACGCCGCCAGCGCCTCCTCAGGTGGAGGACCGAGGTTGTGGTGACCGCTGGTCTGCAACTCGCTTAGCAGAGCCGAGATTCGCTTTTTCAACCTCTCTGATTCCGCCAATAGGTTAAGCTTGAACCTCTCTTTTGTCCTGCGTATCATCTGAAACGCCAACATTTTTATTACCATTGATTCACTCAATAAGGTACCTATTCTCAATCGCTTCCTAATATCACATTTTGGAGGGTCAAACGAAAGAAAAAATTCCTATTTATGCATTCAAAAAACATCTGAGCTAGTTAATATGCTTTAGCTATCTTACATAGGGTGTTGATAAAAGCGGCAAACGAAAAAAATGAACTTTTATTGTCACACCTTCAACTCTGCTAATACCAGCACTCACGAGCAACTTGCCTCCTCACAGATGACTAAAGTTTCTTTGAAGTTGGCCCAGTCAGAGACGAGATTAACTCTTTTCGTGGCCACTTCATTCTGATAAGTCACTTCGCATTTATCCAGAATGGCGAATTGTTCTTCCAGCGGCGAAAATTTGCCCTCAATTTCTGTCCTCTCATTGAATACCTTTTCTAGTAGTTCTATGGATTCCACAAGTTCGAGCAGATTCTCGGGAACGTGGGATAGTCTAAAGTTTTAAAATAATGGTAAAGTTGATGAGGCTAACCTCTTGGCCATATCACTCATGTATTTATAAATTCCATTGAGATCTTCGACGGTCATATCCATAAGGAGATTAATCAAACGCATTTGCCACTCCCGGCAATGGGCTGCGATGGCATTCTTGAGCTGACTGAAGTCCAGCTGCAGAAACCGCACTGTCACTAGTGCCTCCGCATCCAACACCTTATTCGTCACTTCAGTGAACCTACAACAAGGAAGCCCAACTCGTTGCTAATGATGTCATTCGAAGCAAACTGATGCAGGCACTAATGTGTCACAGTCTCAACAGGCGATGAAATAAGAATCTAGAGCTGGGAAGTGTTTGTCTTTTCAGTGGCCGAAACACGTCTCATAGTAGGGTTTAATTTTTCCAGAACAAAATCCGATTAATTAACCAAAATACTTGTAAGAAACTGTAGCCTACTGTCAAACACTAACGCGAATTTACTTTTAGTTTCAGTCTTAGAGGAACCATAACGTAAAAAATACCTACCGTCCAATGTCCGAATTGATAGAAGCAGCACTCCGTTTGATTTCGCGATAATGATTGATAACTTCGTCTTTGGACTGCTCCCAAATTTCCCGAAATTTATCCCAATGACCCAGTGGATCTTGCACAGGCTTTGCAATTTCAACTATACCGCGTTTGATGCTCTCTTGAACCTTTACGACCTCTTCATCCGCTTCAACCGTTGCGGCGATCGACTAAAACACACCCGCAGTGAGCAGCACATCCACTCACCAAAGTCCTCTCTTATAGAATTCGAGGTGTTTGAAGCTGCTTGACTTATTGTTGAAAATAACGACACCTGTAAAATTAGTTTGAAGGTGTTTAAAAAAGTACAAATGCCCAGTGCAACGTGACATCAATGGAGAGAGCACCAAAGTTGAGCAGGTTTGTACTACATTTCGCGGATGCAAGTTTTAAGACGGAACAATGATTTAACGTAAAACTGGCTTGTCATTGCTGAACATGCCAAGGCTCATTCCAATTTTACAACAGTCATCCATTGCAACTTCCTTTTCGATAGGAAAACAGGAATGAGCTACCAAACCACTAGTGTTGAACTGGTTGCGTAGGCATAAACATCCTATGCGAAATAAAATTGCGTCAAACACTAGACAGACCAATGCTCAATAAACACAACGTTAATGTATGGAAAGAATCGTGGTGCCATTGAGTTAAGAACAAAGAACTTCGGCTTCAGGTAAGTCTCGTAAAATTAAAAGAATATGACTTTTATTGTCTCTATTACCGGCTGCAAAATAAGGGTACTTTCACACATACGGGGATGCCAGTGGTCTTATTCTTTGTTAAGACCTCAGGGAGGCGAGGAATGTTTGCAAAGGCTTCAACAAGCTGATCGCATAGAGAGATCACGACGTTTGTTAGCTGAGGAATTGTTGGCGCGAATACTAAAGAGGATCCGTCCAGATTAAGAAGAATCTTGAAAAATGGGTTTGGTTCGTTTCTTCCATCTCCATTGATGGCTCGACGGAGATCCCCCAAAGAGAATTTGACGTTGAGGCGGAATGCCTCTTGACAATAGCGATCCATCCGTTCTGTGTATCTGTGCCAACACAAGGAACGCCACTCAAGTCTTTGTACAGCAGTGATAAGCAATAAAAACTCCCATGCCACTTGCAGGTCCAAGTGAAAAGTTTCAAATTCATTGTCCAAAGACTCTTTGAAACCGTGGCTAAAAGTTGGCAATTATAGCTAGAATCATGCAAAATTCATATAAAAAGGGTGTCCATTTGATCGCTGTAGGAATAAATCAAGGAAGACAGGGAGACTCACGAGTACCAACGTGCTTGGACGTCTGGATTTTCAGAAACGAATGTATCCTTGACCTGCGACATCTTTCGTATAATGTCCTGATGCAAAGCAACCAGCTTTGCTGCTGTCCTCTCTCTGTGTTTGGACTACATGGATGGCGAAAGTAAGAAAATTACAAAGGTGTTCCAATAATCTTAGCCTCTTATTATTTTGAAATCCAAAACTCTTCACATCAGAGCCTCATGCATTGGTGCCGCTAAGACCAGTGACGATGCCTAAAGTGCTGCAGGCTTTGCACTCGATTCATTTGCTTCTAGTAGGCGAAAAAGTTATCTTTAGTGGGTGGTTTCAAAAAAGCCCGGTCATAGTATTTCGTGAATTTGCCCTTGATGTGTCAAAGCATATCATTACTGTCAGTACTTTTGAGTCGTGAAATATGAATGGATAAATTATCAAGTAGCATTACGCGATCATCCGTTACCTGCTCCTGATTGAAATCATCGTTTTCATAAATTCTGCCAGGCTCCAGCTTAAGTAAAAGAGTCTTGGCAATGAGCTCACAATCATCCCTGATATCCGCATTGGCCATCTTATACCCATCCACCTTGCCCTGCAGGCTACAGATCTGCAGGCGGCTGTCGTTGACAAAGAATTCGACCATGGACTTAACAGGCCACTGAATCTTAGCAAACCCGGGCGCAATCTTCTTGTCAAGCATCTTGATGCGCTCATGAAAGAGAGCCTTTTCTTCAGGATTGAGGATGCTTAGAATGCGATTGTACTCACGCACCATCACTAGCACTATCTCACGAAGGTGACGCAACTCCGATTTACGCCGGTGCGCCTCCGCCGCGTAGTGCGGCACCTCAATGCCCATCAGCACGAAATGGTCCAACTCGTTGATCAGGCGCAATACGCTGCCTGGAAATGTCGATTCCAGTTGGTCCGGCTTCATCGCACTGCGCATAAGAATTGGAACCTCAAGACATTTCAGGGGATCCTGTACAAAAACGACTTATTTGTTATAGAAGTATGTGCTCCTGTGTACCTTGGTAATCCAAAACACAGAGCCTAGCACTGCATTAGTTTAGTTACGACAAGCCTTATTATCCATTTTTCTTTGTCAGATTCTTATCTCAATGCATCTCCCATCATTCCTGATTCATAAGTTTTTTTCAAATAAGCTTAACTAAAAAGTTTAAAGCCTGATCTACGTAGTGGTAGTACAGTGGACATCATTTTCTAATCACAACCTAACTTTTAGGGTTAACTGTATGTTGAAATGATATACTCGTGAGGTGATGATAGCAATATATAATTGATTTGAAGAAAAATTGCTTTTTACGCGAGAATGAAACGCATCAAACTAACATATTCAATGGTGCTCATGAATTCGTTGAAAACCTTTCGCGTCATTTCCTCTATGCTTAAGCACATTTGGTCGTAAACGCTTCTCTGTTCTTCCAACACTGCAGCAATGGTGGGAACAAAAAATGCCAAATCGAGTTGCTGTAACGAAGAAGCGTGGTGCAAAATAAGTCTTGTTTAGTTTTGAGGGGAATCTGCGCACATAGATGCCTACACTCATGCTCCTGTCGAGTCGACGACGCAAAAAGCGCCAGAAGATTCCGTTCAAGGCAAATTTCGGCTCCTGTGGCCTTGGCAAGCCCATGAAGGGTCTCATGGTCATCTCTTGTTTCACCTTTGAAAGGCAGTCAAGAAACATATCCACGACCACGTGAGTGTTTGTCTCAAGTGTCCTACGAATGGCCTGAATAACAAGAAATTGGATATAAGTGCTACATAAGCACAATGCGTTCACGAAATGCAAACAATGAAATTGTTCCACTTGTAATCGAATGCACTGTGCAGAGGGTTAAAAACCAGTGGAGCTCATTAACTTCGACTAATTAAAGAACGCTTTGAAATATTTTTAAGTTAGTGAAAAATGCTCCTATTGTAGATCAAATAAGACATATAATAGCATAAATGACCATGTTATAGAAGCGAAGTGAGCCATTAGCAGGTTTCTAACGCACGATGATTAGATCATTACCAACCTCGCGTTTTTGGAGATGGGCAAAGACATCAAGGATTTCAACGCCTTGCTGAATTGTTGTGACCGTTTCGAAAGCCATATTGATAACATTTTGCATCATAATTTCAAGACCTTTCACACCGCTGCAAAACCGATTGTACTGATCATGCCATGTTGTGGCCTTGACATCTAAGATGACAGACCGCTTCTCGCTGAGATTTGTCATTAATTTAACAAACATATTCTCAATTTGCAATAAAAGCAGCTCTATCTCGGGTCCTCTCGCCCCCTGAAAGATAGGCATTTCAGCCTTATTACCCTCCTCAAATCGGCCAAAGTCCGCTTGACATTCACATATCTAGGTACATAACAAAATATGTAGACATTCAAGAATTAGGTCCATATACTATAAAGTCAAATTATGAATAATTTTAACCCGAACACAAAAGATAGTAAAGCAGCAGGTACGGTTTAACTAAGCTATATTAACTAGCTCATGCAGTGAACATAAGTCGGTGCCAGCGTTTTGGCAATGGACCTCTTGGTACGGTGACACTGTCTTACCTCGAGTAGGTCCCTGCACCGCTGGATGAAAGCATCTACGTGGGCGAAAATACTTCCATCCTCCGTGTCCCATGGGATTCCCGAAAACTCCAAATGCATCCTCTTGAGATTCTCATAAGTGGTTTTATAGTTCTCACAGCAACTGATGCAGTCTCGGAGCCTAAGAGATGCTGATCGCACCCTACCAGCGAAAATTTCGTCTAATGAGATAACACTACAGCATCGGACGACGATTTCGTTCGAAATCTTTCGGAAAAGCCCTGTTATTATCGCCTTTGATTTGTAGAACCTCGAGTTGGTCCAAATCATGCGTATTTGATTGATGATTTTGGGTAAGATTGGTGGAATTTGAGCAGGAGTTAAATCGGAAAGAAAAACACAAACATCCTTCATTGTGGCTAGAAACTTTAAGTTATCTTGTGCTTCTGCGGATGTGTTTTTTATTTCTTCCGAAAGTCGAATAAACGCAGTGACATATGAGGATCTAGCAGCTGACAAAATTTGTGCAATTTCGATTATGCTCTTATTGTCTAATTGTCTGCTAATACCCGTCAAATCCTCGCAACGGTTCCTCCAGTACTCAATTTCATCCAAGGGTCCAGTTCCTTCGTCATCATCAAGGGCACTTTGTGAGCTGAGCACCTCCTTAATCTGCCGCGTCCAATGAATCACTATCATTTCAAGACGACCGACTAAATCCTTGTCCTTTGCTTCTTCAACTGGAGAAAGCTTAAAAGTTTCCATTGGAATGTAGAGTACTGTCTTTGCATTTAACTTCCATCGCGTGTCTGTAAGAGCAGACATGAAGCGGTGTAGCTGTAGCGCAAAATCATTCTTGATACTATCGGGCCACGTTTCGTCAGCAAAAAAGGTGGGCGCATAGACATTTGACATGACTCGAAGCAAACTCTCTATCCCTTGACCCAAAACTGAACCATTTTGAACGGTGACAGAAAAATTCTCTGACGTAATCTCGACATTCATTCCCTCATGGGTACGTATGAAGTAATTTATGTCTCGAAAAATAGAAGCTGGAAATCCTGAACCTACGTATAACTGCCCATCTGGAAGTATACTAAAAAAGATAACATCAACCCCATTTGCAGGCACGAATTCAGTCAACACAAAAAAAGTGTGCTCCTCCTTCCAGGAATTTGCATTGTATCCTGTCAGAAATAATCGATTCTGGATCATTTGATCCACACTAGGAAGCGGATCCATAAATTCAACTTCGGGGACTTGATCGAAAGCATCAAACTTTAGAGCATCCTTATAAGTTTCACCGTTCGGTTCAATACCGATGAACTCGTCGTACGGACCCAAAAGAATATCAGTTCTCTGGGAAGAGTCATCAATTGCTGGACCAGCTAAAACAGAAAATCTGTGAAAACAAACTTAAGGGATTTTTCATAAGCGAAAACCAATCAAGAATCGAAATAACACTCTAGATTTGATGGCAGTGCTCCCTTTAAAGTCAAATCATATGCTTTTTTGCCATCAAACGGAATAAAGCCAAAACAATTGACATATAATCGACATGTCATTTGGACTATGTCGTGCTTAACCCATGATACGCCAAGTTGGAAAGTGACAAAGTATATTTACCGGTATTGATTGCTAAGGCGTGCGTCAAGCGACAAAAAAACCAATTGGCATATTGGCATTTTAGTTATGCTAAATAAAACTGTTTTACAGTGGAGATTTACTAATGTACTTTACTGAAGGCTGCAAAATTTTCGCGCTACAAGCATAAGCTCGTGCAACTTTCAACTGCAAGGTCTGCTTTTTTGGTTTGAATTGATATCGTAATTCGAACATTGTTGGAGTATATTGGTCACCTAGTTTTAGCGTCAGTAATTCATTAAAAGTGCTTAAAAAGAGAATATGAAGGTAATTTGCTCCAGTGCTATGCTGGACTACTGATTTTGGTTGCAGTCCCCGGTCGGCTAGATTTCATCCGTCCAATAGGCTGGTCCCCGGACTTTGCACATCTTTCCGGTCTCCTGATACTTGATGAAAGCTTATAGCATAAGGCTTTTGCCTTCAATAAAACCTCGCAAAACTGCAATGACCATTGAATTGAATTTTCGAACTAGCTTATTTGTTCACCAATCTTCATAGCTTAAGTGGACGCCTCATGACAACGCCAAAACTCATTAAAGTATAAAAAAATAAATAATGGTTATCCATGCCACTTAGGTTATGACAATTTTAATTCCAAATAATTGACTCTGTTATCTAAAGTTTTGACTTAATAGACCGCTTTCATATAATACAAGTTATTTGTAGTAACTTTTGAAAATAAAAAATTCAGTGAAGCGAATCGAAGGACACACGGAAAATACTGGTCATACAATCAAGGCGACTGTAGTCCCAAAAAGCACATCCTAGCCTATGCATTAGTTGAGATACAGGAAGAAATGATGAACAGTGAAATTTGGCTCTGTACCAAAGACATGGCTGCAAGCTCCTCGTTAGGTGAGAATGCCATAGGTAAACACGCATTTCAATGTTTCCATGTATTAAGATCTCCATCTAGTGAAAAATACTTGGAGTCATAAGTAATGCTTTTCAACCAAAAGCAGTGCCATCACTCAAATAAGAACCACACACTACCTGCTTCATCCATTGATGCCGATTTTATAAAATTGCCTTGGGTGTTACTGTGGCAACATTAAAGGCGTAGCCCATCGATTTATTAACATTGAATGTATTTGGGCAAACTCTTATGTTTTACTGACCATTTGAATCGAAAAAATAATTATACGTATTATAGCACAATAATTCTGAAAGTTTTAGATTTAATGCCCAAAAGTGTTTAGTAAAGCGTAATAAAGTACGTTCTGTGTGTTTAAAATGGAAATTGAACGCCATATTCCAGCATTTTATACTTATCCTGAGAAAATCAGTTATACGGAAACAGAACTTATGTCCATTTAATATTTAGTACCCCTTAACCTGAATATTATGGTTTACTCGAGTGTAGAAGGCATTGTCTCCTCTCCTTTAAGTGTCCATGTAAGGCGAGAGGCGAAAACGCATTTGAAATTACTTTGCTTCTGAGTCTGCACTTTAATACTTTGCTTATGTGATCACCTGATATAAGGCGATTACTTTGGCATTCGTCCTCCATTGTACGCTTGAGCTGGCCCACGAAACAAGCTCAGGCTTAATCCCTTTTCTCTCCCTAGAGTACATCTATTCAGTCCACCCTGAGGACTTCTCAATCCTGGTGGGAAGTTTCGGAACACTGCATGCGCCGGTTCTGATTAAACCGGTGTAGCAAATATGGCACAGCTCTACCAGTTTGTCGGGTTTTGTTGCAGACAGAAAGAAATGAAGACGGACATATGAGAGACGATTGTATGATATTTTAATCTGAGCTGGTGGCACATTGGTACGGTGATTAGGCTGCTGGTAAATGCATACCATGTATGTTATTCTCCTTTCCTCGTGTCTCCAAGTGTTCTCCACACTAATGTGTTTTTTGCCATGAAAGGAATACTAGCATTACTGTCGAAAAGATATTCCAGAAAATTTGACATTTCACTTATCGTCATAACAAATTGATTTATTAAGACAAACTTTTGAGGTCATCGCGACAGCCTCCAATCAGATGTGCTCTAGTTTTTATTTTAGTAACCGCTTTTGGCCTCATAATTCTCCAAACATGATGCTGGTCTGCCATAGCCCGTTGCGTAGCTGCGGACACGAATAACAACTTCCATGGAAATGCCACCACGTGGCTGTTTTTAACGATAGGCGCGTCTAGCCCCCACATTTGCCTCCAGGTTGCGCGTGATTACAAGAACCCGCTTAGTTATTTATGAATGCATTTAACATGGTTGTCATCTACGATTGCATTCCTTCGGACAGCCGCGGGGCAGGCACAAAGTTCTACTCGTACTGCTTCGCTTGATTGCCAATGTCTGCCGGATGGCTAGCTTTCAATCCGTGCCAACCGTCTTCTCCTTTCCAATCCACACGTATGCATTCAACTAAGTAGTATGCCCTTAACACCTGACAGGGAGTCTTATTACGCTACATTACCGGTCTCAAGTCAGGTCAGTTCCGCCAAATTGCCTGCAGATGGTCGGACTCACCGCTTTATTGCACACGTTAAACAAGTTTCAGGCGATCTAAAAATGAATGCATTGCCATGCGCATAGACTCCTGTCAACTCATGTATTTAGTTCGTTTTACTGCCGTAGAGTATTAGCTTCTTTTCTGTTTATCAAATTTATTAGGAGTACAGATTTGTAACCTGGGGGTCCTATGGTAAAGATGCGTCATATACAGGCGCAAACAAAACCTGTCACTCGCCCTCTTGTATTTGCATATCCCACAAGTTGCCTCATGCATGGCTCCAGCAGGCACGAGTGTCTACTGATGCAAGATTGGTGGGAACTGAAATCGAAAGGTGTCGATTGGCAGCAAAAGGGAGTTCCTTAGAGTGATCTGAAGATTGTCTTTTATGTCACTTGCTGAGCTTTTAGAGCATCACCAGATGGCAAATTAACGACGTTGCACCTTGTTACACCAAAACCAACACCCGAAGTTACAAGTGTCGCCTTAACAGCCGCCTAACCTACGATCCCCTTTAGGTCGAAAAGGGGGATTATGAAACTGAAAACACGACGTAAACAGCGGACTAACCTCATTCCCAAAGGAAAATGTAGGCATGCATCAAAAAGCATTTTTATTGTTTGCGTCCCACAGTTATAGTGACTTGTACAGGTAACCCGAATGGTATCGGAGAGCATGGAACGTGAATAGTATCACAACCAGAAGGAGGAAATACGCAGGAAAGAGGTATTCACAGAATGAAACCCGTTATGTCTCAGGACCTCTGCCATACACTCGAATCAGCTGACGATGGACACTAAAATGATTTTTTGAAAACCGCAGTAAAAATTACCCTTGTCAGAAGTCTGAAGCCAAGATAAATTCAGTAAACAATAGTTTGGTTGAGCAAGCGGAAAGGCTCTGGAATAACATGCCTTTCATCACACAAGTCAGAAAATTCTTCCAATGCATCGCATCTTATGCTTTTTAAGGTGTACCACGAAATCCAATCGTTTAGCCTCCTGCACTACGGTTCAGCACATTGTGTTTATGTTTTGCCATCCAAAGGTCCCAATTCATGTTTATGTTAAAGTCGTACATAGGTTGTTGGGAGCAACGTAGGGCTCATATTAGGAGCAAAGTGCAAAGTTCATGGTTTCATAAATGGCATTGTCACATTCTGGCATTATAATTACGCCGATAGGGCGCTACCTTTGACTGTTGGATCGGCTGATCGTGAATTCTAGCTCATAAGCCTAGTCTGATCATAGTGAAATAAGAGAAGATAGGAGGAAGTGTACGCGAACGCACCAGCAAATAATGTTAGGATTGCACAAAACCTCCCCGTCGACACACCAGACCGAGGTATCCTCACCCACGGTCTCATCAGGGGCCACAGGGCAGCCATAGCGATTGAGGGCTTCGAAATGGAAGGCTCGCACCCGGTAAGCCTCGACAAAGGGCATTTGGAGATGCTCCGACTTGCGCTTCCAGTGACGGTTAGTTAACTTAACGAGGTAGCGCAAGTACTTCATGCGCGAGCATCGGCGCACGAGGACAAGGTCAAGAAAGCCGTCACCGAGGTGTGCAGCGGGAGCGGGGCCCAAAGGCGACTTGGCGCAGCGGCAGGAGATAAGGAAGGCGTTGACCGCTACAAAGTCGCCTACTATCACTTGCCACCTGGTTGTTAATCCTTTTTCTTGGCTTTCCGATTCCTCTCCTTCCTCACCTAATGAGTCATTTCTCTTCTCTGTCACCTCCGCGCTCAAGTTGTTCTGAGCTGAAAGGTTTGCTGTCAACAGTAACGATAAAATCTCATACATGCCCCAACTGTTCACGCATCCTTGCTTGACAGTGGGTTTATCTAAAAGTTTTCTATTACAACATTGTTAAGTTTTGATTTACCACACTGAATCGGCAAAAACCCTATTTGCACCAGAACACCAAAGTGTTTGACACAGGCACGGCCAGTAAAAGAGAAGAGGCAAACAAGTGTGTTCATAACATTAAAACGATATATTAAGAAAAACGGTGCGACATGCTACGTATTAATAATCAGCGCGATATAGTCGGCAAACTGAAGCTAGGCATTCGCAGTGGAAAAAACGTGAGACTTGTGCGCATGATGTTGCTCAAATTATGTGTGCATGTCGTAGTAAGAGCGCACAAAAGGGTATTACGTCAGCAAAAAAAACAGGAAATTGCCATCTCTTCGGGTGCTCAATGCAAACAAACTCTCTGGCCTATAAACGAAAATATCAACGTTAGGACGTATAGTCGATTTGAGGTGCTATAGTGAAGACGTTAATTAATTCAGAGCCATTTGTTTGATCTTCGCCGTAGTGAAATCGTTGTACTGTGAGGCACTTAGAGCAATCGTTTCAAATACTTCAGCTGTAAGCGCCTCTATGAAATCCTACCATGAAGACGTGAAACAAGTGGATATTACTGTAACCTATGAATGGAAAGATTGCGATTCTTTAATGGGAACCATTGAAGCAGTAAAAACAAATGACAATAGGGCACTACTGTTTCTTTTACCAAACAATGATTTCTGAGAAATTTACCGAGCGCTATACCACTGAGTTTAAAACATGCCTGGAGGGTGATTGAGTTGCTTCAAGTGTGTGAGGTTATCCCGACTCGTTTCTAACACGTTTTACAAAAAGATGAGGCATACGTACGATGTACCGAACTGGTGTGCGGAGGGTGGAAGCAGAGGGTTGGGGAGTCCACGAGGCTCGAGGTGGTAGGATGTGTTTGGATGCCGGGCCCGTCGGCCTGCCTTACCTCACTGGACGTCATAGGTAGGCCAGCTCTAACAGTCCAGGCGTTCCCTTCGTGGTCGCCATCCGAAGCAAGGCATATCGGACACCTTTGCCGAAAGGAGAAGCAGAAAGGAAAGTAGAAAAAACATATGACATTGACACTGACGGGACAACATATGCTTACGGAGATAACATCTACTAAGCACAATTATTCGGTTGTTCAGCAGAATTAGGAAGTTGCTGTCAAAAACCAATTACTTTGCAACAAGAGATGCAAAACGTAAACAAATCACCGACCTTGAGGCAAGTAAGATCAACAAAAGCCAAGCAGAAAACAATGGTTTGTCGCAAGAGCAGGTGGATATTAGGGGATAGCGCAAGAGATGGAGATACAAATGTTTGACTTACGAGGCGACACAGATTTTTTCGTCAAACGGAGTGGAAGAAGTTGATGGGAGGTAAGCAATGCGACATTTGTAGCAGGCTAATTTCAGCCATTTGATGGCACCTTAAAGGGAACTAACAACGTGGCCATCGGCAGAACATATATGCGTGAATATGTCAGAGACTATAAGGCGTCTCATTCACTCAAAGACACTTGGATAAATTCGCACTTAAGACAATTCATACTTTACGTTGTGCAAGAGATCAGATAATTTTTAAACGGCACTACAGTGAGGAAAACTCTGACATTTCACATTCAATAGGTTTTGCCTTGGGGTCTAAATAAGCATTCATGCCCCAAAGTTACCGAAGCAATCAATATTTAAGAGTCTCTTACAAAAGCAGCTGGAGAAATTGTCACGTAAAATTGTTGGAATAAAAATCGCCATGGAATCGCAAACCATACTATCAAAAAGGATTAACAACTGGTTCCACTTGTAGGGAAGTTGACAGATGGTAAGAATGACTAAGTTAATTGAGCAACCAAACGTGGATCACAAAAAAGATTTAAGAACCCCGAGTACTACACGAAGTGATTTTGTCCCAACCTTACCAGCAAAGTCATATCGAGGAGGACCAAGCCACCGGAGTCGTTCACTTGGTTCAAGGATATCACCATGAAAGCCATAACCCAGGAGGGAAACTGTGTAACGCAGGAACGCTTTGGTTGATGCGTCATGAATCCCCAGCACATCGACTCCAATATCAAAACCTAAAACATTTTGGAAGAATTTCGCTTTAAACTACAGATAAGTCCTTGCTATAGTACTCCTCAGTTGCGAAAATACACTAACTGAGAAGCTCAACTTTACCATTGATAAAAGTACCCAATTCCATGCCACAATTTTGACCCTATATTTACTCAGAAAAAACTGCCAAAAAGGAGAAGTCAACCTTTCCAAAACTTTATGAAGTTTATTCAGTAACCCGGAACAGCTTGATAGTTTATACAGAAAAAAGTGAAATCAGCAAGATGATTACCGAGTACAAGTCAAGGAACTTATAGGAATCTCAAAAAAGCTATTTATGTCGACGTAGTCGCCACTACAACGACCTCCTTTTCACACTTTTAAAAAGTTTTGCTCATAAAGGCTAAGAATCTCTATTTTCAACCACAATTCTTTCTGCCTCTACTTTTTTGCCTATCAATCTTACAAAAGAGCGTTTACTAACTGTTGGAAGAAATATTATTGGATTAGGACTGCATTCTTCTCGTTCCATTTTGAAGGTTTAGCACATACACCTTCAGGTTATGGGCGACCGTACCAAATAGGTATAACCTTCAGAAATTCCATCCGCAGTACCCTACACAAACATTGAATACACTTCCAGCGAATAAGTATGGCATAGGTGGTAGATGGCCTAGAGATGTTCCCAGGTGTTAGCAGTGCTAATGGCAAGGGTGAGGAAATCAGCATGAGCTGCAGCTAAATAGCAGTGGTAACAGACATTTACAAGACGCAGCAATTCATCAAACCTCCTGAAAACCTACGGCATTTGAAACGACCTAATAGCGGCAATCCACTAACCGATGAGGCGTTTTCAGCCTTAAAATGTATGAGTACTAAATGGAGTTAAAATGGATACCTGTAAAAATACCTCAATTTAAATAACTAGTGACTTCCCAATCACGCCGTTCAACCATACGATTTTACTGAAACCTCACTCCGCACGTCTTATTTTGATTTAGCGTTTCAATGTACACACTGCCGATGACTCGGCAAACATTGGTTAAGTTTTGATCAGCCTTTAACCACACAGTACACAGATGTTACAGGCTTCGAAACGAGCAGCAGCAATCGACTCATGCAAAAAAAACAATTTGAAAAATAATACATGCAACAAGGAAACAAGGTGGTCGACAGTCGAGAAGAAAATGGCCAACGATAATTGAGGGCTGGATCGTGAGCAGCAGACACTCAAGAGTGAAGATGACGGATTTTTCAACCAGAGCACTTAGGCACCTAAAACGATCACATGGTTCCGTGCTCATAAACTACCTTCATAAAAGCCATGACTCACGTAAAATAATCATGTAAATGGTTTTGTAGTGGACCTGCAAGTACATGCGCAACGATTAGAGGAGACCTTAGAGACCACATAAATCACTTCACATTACGGGGTAAAAGAGTAGCATGTAGTGGTGTTAGGAGCCTTAAAACCCAGATCCAAGAATCCAATGTGTACTGTAGGCCCAACACGCCAAATAAATATTTGCGATTTTATTCCAATAATCTACCTTACTACATTCAAGATAGAGACAATTGACTAAACGCGTGGAAATAACAAACGACTGGATTTTTTAAAAATGCCATAAAATAGAGTGAAACTAGAGCAACTCATTGGCTTGGTCTTACGAGGTGCAGCAAAAAAACCAGCATTTCGGTGGCAGTTCGTTTCACTAATAAATTCTCACACACTGAAAATGAGAGGAACACTGACAGTTGGTGCGATTGCATGGGAGAAGGAATAGCATTGATGTGAAAAAGACAAAATTGAGAGTGCCAGTAAATCTTCTTGAGAAAGCACAGTGACAGCGCTCAACTGTTCAATTAATCACAATTACACATGAATTGATAGAATATAATGCGGATAGCAAAATTTGAATGCGATCGCAATCAACTAATACTTTGTTAGTTAGTAGAAAATTCTTCTAATTGCCTATTTTTCATCAGCCTGCTAAAATTAGCATCCCTTTTCTAACAAATAAAACATCAGGATCACCGTCATAACTTAGGCAACTGGCCTTGAATTCACCTACATCTACGGGAAAAGAAGCGACATGGAATTGATACTTTCAAGTGACGCTGGCAGAACTGGTAGAGGCAGGAAGTAACCTCATTGGAGTGGAATAAGGTATTATTGTTGAAATTCACAATGCCAGTTCCAGCAATGCTGGAGAGAGCTGCGTACCATCTGCTAAATTGAATAGGTGGCTGCTGGTTTGATGCAAGCTTCCTTCGCCTGAATGGCAGTGCAGTGTACTTAAGACAAGATGCACTTAAAAACACTGACAGCAAGTACCATGAAAAAAGACAGCGGTGAAACTTCGATGTACAAGTAAGTTGCACAACAATAGTAGGGATAATGCTGAGTTTAAAATACGACCGCATGCATGTCAATCGCTTCTTCACACATTTTTCAGGCTGAATTAACCGCGGCACTATGCAAGTGTAATTGAGGCGTATGTCAAGATTGAAGTTATACCAACTAATAAATAAAAAATGCGAAGCGTAGTGTTCTCTTTCAGGAAAACAAACATTTGAGAGTCAACACTACAATTACTGCAGCTGGCAGTATTGAACGCCGATGCATTACATCAAGGCGAACTTAAGAAATGCTCCTACCCAGGGCAATATGAATAGCAGCTGTCTCGACATCGTCTGTTCCATGTATGGATTGAATGATGGCATTAGTCGAACCTATAAGAGTGCAAAAGAGTATGCATACAGTGAACATAAAGTAAGTTCATCTAGAAATTTCATACCCGAATCAGTTCAGTGAATTATGGCACTGTTGCATCGGATTACATCGAAATTACATATATCAAAGCTTTCGCACGCCGAAGCAATCAGTTCTCCACCAAGCCTTTGAAGCTATAGACAGGCCAGTAGGCTTTCCATGAAATCAAAAAAGCAAATCAAAGGGTAGGACTGTAACAGTGAGCTTTAAAACTAAGTTATCTATGCATAACTCAAAACAGCACCACTTTTGCTAGCCACCCACGCATTTAAATGCAAGTGAGCGGTTCGGAAAAGGCTGTCCCCATTGTATTTCGCGTCCCTTAATGCAAAATTCAGATGTTTTTAACCTCGTCCCAGTTCAACACGTCTACGATAATCAAACGAAGAAAACTAATATCTCAGTGACATCATCAAACAAAAACTAATTTCAAACCACTTTTAATGTCTAAATGTACAAAGCAGCAGCGTCAGCAACTAGTAAAATGACTCAGATTTGAGCGAGGACACATAGGTGTTTGATGAATCACTGAGATTGTAAGTTAGGTCTGGCAAAGTGTCATCACGCGTAGGCAAGACTGTTGTATCCGCGCCTACAGGAACTGCAACTCGGAAAAAGGACTCTAAAGTACTTGTGCCACAACCCTCTCCTTGAAGCTCAGTTATGAGTGTGATAGAAATTGGCGATTCCATTCGCCCTCTGTTACTAAGCTCCGTCGCATTGTGAGTGTTTTCTTGAGTACCAACATCATCTAGATCCACTGAAACCACCGTAGACGCATGGCAGTTTTGAGGTAAACCGAAGCTGTTATTGCCATGATACTGTGCACTTCTGGGGGCTGAGATGTCAATCAATACATCGAAATGAAGTGGTGAGGCGCCTGCACTTTTGATGCGACGGTCCTGTTTCGGTTGCCGCAGCTGCATCAGATCACACTCAGGTCCGCTTGGAACAGGGAGATCCAATGGAATAGACGAAGTCGAGGAGGGGAGTGAGTTATGGCCTGGAGATTTCAAGTTGTTTTTTGTGTTGAGAAGTGACGTTTGAATTACCACTTGTTTCGGTGACGACGAAGATGGTGAATTCAACTTTATCGAGAAGGAGGCCAATGATGAGGTAGCACCTTCCAAGGCATCTCTATTAATGGAAAATGAAGCACCCTCGACCACATTATCTATGCGATTTTGAATGGCGTTACGCATCCCCACAGTACAAGCATTTTCATCTATTTCCTTTTGAAATAATGGCGTAGAAGCGGAATGACAATTTTCTGGAAGGCAAACGCCATCGCACGTGTTCAAGATATCCGTATCCGGTGGCTGTTTGCGACTCACATCTTCGCAGTTTTCCACATTTTTTGAAAACCCATGATCATCACATTTCGCAAGCTCAGAGTTTGGGGAAGGAGGAGGCGGTAGGAATTGTGTTTGATCAACAGCATCATCAACACAAGGTAGAATCAGAAGTTGGCATTCAGAAGGAGGCGTTGGCAATGATTCATGCCTTCCAGAGATTTCCGTACAAAAACCTGAATCTTCGACGACATCCATCCTTTTGCTCATTCCTAATCCGCATGCACAGTTAGGACGGTCGTCAACATCTTCACAGCCTGGGTTACCTCTAGCCAACTCCGTAGAACCCATTACATCCTTAATGTTCATACAGGAATCAGACGACAGGCACTGAGAATTGCCTAAACTATGTATTAAAACGGAGTCCTTCAAAGCTTCAGAATGGGTTGGTAACATCTCGCTAATGGTTGTGACATTAGCGGTACAGCAAGCAAGACTTGACAGGGGCTTAAATTTCAGAAGATCACCGCTTCTATTCCAATCAAGTTCGGCATTTGAATAGTTTATTCCGTAGGTGGACATTGGTGAAGGCATGGCCTCTTCGCTCAAAACACTAATCACGTGCTCGACAAGGTGACAGACCCTTTGACGTGTCTCAACCCTCACGGTTGTTCCTTCCTCGTATTCTGGGAACTGTAATAGAGATAGAATACCACAAGGTAAATCAATTGCCTCGTCTTTAGCAAACAACAGGATTGCTGCTGGTGAGACCGTCATCAGAACCTCTGTTCCATGCAGAAATTTCCTGCCCGCAGAAAAATCGTTTAAATATGAAGCAGGTCTCCCATTTTCTGAAAACTCAGCGAGCTGTTCAAGGCTTGGAACCCCAGTAGTTTCCCGGTTGTTAGGAATTAGGAGCTCCGGTTGATTATCTAGATTGTTTTCGAAATGTTCATCAAGGTGATACCTCGTCGTACCTGTACCAGCTGCGGATTTATAAACCAATGAACCGGTTGTCCCTTTGATCTTGTTGGAGTTCAGAGATGTGGATGGTGGGGGCGTTAGAGCGCCGGTGTCATTCATCGAAGTACTAGCTACTGTGCTAAAATCCATCTGCAATATATCCGCCACCGAAGTCGTTACATATTTTTCGTGTTCAACAAGCTGGTGCAAATCAGAATAATTTTCAATCGTAGGATTCAAGTTTTTATTCTGAATAACCGATACAAGGTCTATCGACGAATCAAGCATTTCTAATTCATCTATAAGTGTCGGTGAAACAGGTAGATGAGCCCTCGGAGTCCCTAAGTTGGGCACAACATCAGTTTTGTGATCCAGATGGGATTTCGATGTCTGATCGATAGATTCGCTAATCCCACCAAAATCTGCATGAACCTCCCTGCCCACCGAGCTTTCAGTAGTGCGGTTAGCCTGCGATCTTGATTCGGACAAATATTCGGAAGTAGTGGATTTCATTCCATGAGTATTACCATCAGGTTCAGCAAAGTCCTTCCCGCCATTATCGACTATTACTGCCATCTTGTTCAACGAGCGTGACTCGTGCCTGACCTTTTCGGATAATTTATATGGTGATATCGATGGAGTACGTTTAGCAGATTTTACTTTGCCCCATTCATGATAATCTGAAGTTAATATATCGTGTGGACTTGTGCTATGTGTGATAATTCGCTCTGGGAGTGGACTCTTTCGACTTCGCTTGGATTTTCTAAGCCTAGTTCTGACGCTCAGATTCCCTAGAGGTGCAAGCGCTTGCGGCGCATCCTTAATTTCTTTTTTTGTTGGACTCTTCGAGCGATGACTGACTTCCCTCTTTACACCAAATAAAATATCAGAACTGGACTGTACTCTGTTTCGTGCACCCAATGAGCGCGGCCGTCGGGGCTTTCTCGGGGAATCTGAACCAAGTTCTTGCGTTGGATGATGTTCCAGTTCATAAATCTTACTTCTTGAAAGATGCAACCTCTTAGAATTGGGTAGAGTGGAAGCGTTTCGAACATTAGAACGTCGAAGGTACCCTAAACCTGTTGCTGGATCAGTTATGACAGAAGTCACATCATTTAGTGTGGTGCGGTCACTAACCGATAGATCCCTATTTCGATGCTTCTCGGATAAATGAAGCGAGATTCCGCTACTTTCCGGTCTTGATCGATGAGAAGCTGCCATCCTCTTATGGGCAATAACCATTTCTTTTGGAGGCGAACTCAACAGACAGCTGTCATTAAGACGCCTATATAATCCTCGAGGTTTCGGTTTCGGTGTGGCTTCTGAACGGCTATGCGACGCAGTCTTTCGAGAAAGAGCAACAGTTTCACTTCTACTTTGAGGAGTATTGTTACAAGAAACTGACCCAGAGTGAGCATGTTCTTTGGAAGCACTCACACCAAATTCACGTGAACCTGAACCGGCTTTTTGGTCGCAAGATTGAAAACAATCGTTCAGATGATTGCTTGCTGCTGACGGAGTGTCAGCATATCTTTGCACAGGGCTCATCTGAAGATATGATTGAGGTGAACCTCTTGCAAATCTGGATTCAGCAAGAGTGGGTGGTCTTGCCAACAAAGTCAAAGAAGCTCGTCTTGGGTACTCCCTTCGGTTCGAGTGTATCGGAATGCAGGCTTCAATGAGACGATTGAACTGAGCAATGGACTGATCGTCAGGACCAGTTACCCGAAGAATGGACAGCCGAGTCCAATTTCCAGGTGAGACAAGTCGTCTGAGAACACGTTTTGTAACCTCAATTCTGCATCCTGTTTTAAGTCCAGCTGTCTTAACTCGGGCGTCCCCGTAGATGGCCCGCAATTTATCCGGTGTGTTTTCCAACAAATACTCCGCGGAAACGTAATCATTAAACTTATCCATTAGAACAAACCAAGGCTGTGCATTACTCGTTCCACTTACCTCACGCAAATGCCACTTCAAATGAAAATCAATACTCCCTCCCCCGCCCCCACGATGGTACGCGCGCACGGTATGGAACAGAAGAAGCACGCCGTGACAGCAGCAAAAAATGTAACACCAAGCAAAGAGTTGCACCCAAGACCGTATCCTTACCGGCAGGAATAAGCCCAACTCGGAGCCGAGGCGTCACTTCCAAGGAAAAGGGCTTGTGCTGCTTGTATAGGGGAAGTTTTGCGTCAGTGCGTGCCCGATACAAAAGCCCATGTAGCACCTCCGAAAACAACCCATCTCCTCCGACAGCCACCACCCTTTAAGGTAAAAATAATTCGTATATGCACCACAAGCACATTATTTGCAATAAATCGGTCAATACAAGGCTCATTTGAAATCTGTACAAAGCACTGCGCGTACAGATAACAGGGACCTGTAATTACCCCAAGAATTTTAGCACTGGTGAAACGAAAACTCAACTTAGCGGTTCAAAATTACTCCTATTCGAAAATTAACTAAAGAGGTGCCTATTAGTCATACTGCCCTTCAAATGAAAGTTTGTTCTACAATGAAAAACTACTTGCAATACGACAAAAGCATAAAATCGTGGAAAAACTTGTTGTAAGCACCCCGCTGAACTAGTTCCAAGAAAGTGTCCAACGGAATAAATAGGAAAAGACGCCCCTTTTCTACGTCCCCATGTGTTCACCATAGCTGTAGAGAGATGCCTCAGACCTAAGTCATGCATACAGAAATCACCCGAGACGATGCCGACTAAGGGCTTGCAGAATGACGATTCACAGCCTTTTCAGAGATTCACATACCCGTCATAGGATTGAAGATCTTCCATGAGTATGAAGTTTTTACAGTGACCTTGATGCGTAGTTACTAAAATGCATATACATCAGTAATTACATCTCAAATTAAATTGATGAATGCATAAAATACACCGTACCTATGACTCTTGTATTGATACCTGATAAATCAAATATTGGCCGGACAGTTGAATAGAACGTCGTTTCAGCATGCCTTTGCCCTCCATAGGGGTTTATGAAAACCAAAAGCGATCGCGGACGGTTCTGAGCTAGGAAGAACGCACATTTTATGAGTTCACCAACCTCAACTAAACCCGTTTCAGAGTGCGTTCGAATCAAAAACTTGAAGATGATTACAAAATGCATTAATAAGTACAGTGACCAGTACTTTCGGTTACAGTTGCGATTAAATATACGTTCCGTAAAACAGTAACCTACCCGAGAGTTCACAACAAAGCTGTATCTGGTTGTACCATGAGTTGATTTCCTCAGAATCACCGAGAACGTTCCAAGCTTGAATTTTCCATGCACCAAATCTCATTTTACGAACACACTGTATAGTCAATCCTTCATCGTCGATACTATGGAGAAATATGCCGATATTGCAACACGTTCCTGAAACCTCAAGTCGTCTTACACTTAAAACATATCTAGTCTCAATTGTGATACCTACAAACAAATTCCAAAATAACTGCCTCACTATCAACTTTGTTCCAGCTAAAAGACCCCATAATTAGAGGCGTCCACTTCCATGTAATGTAGTCCCCATTGGCAGTAAAATCATGCACATTTGTGCCTGTATGACAACCCCCAATCGGCATCGTACTCAAAGCCCCAAAAAAAACACGACGCTAGCCTGTTGAATGGCCGCTCAATGCCAGGATCCGTAAAACGCCAGTAAATACATCACTACATATAGTGTCAAGCTTGTAGATTGGTGGCTTATATGATGTTTATACCACCAGCGTGTACTGGTAAGACTTTATTATCCATCTTAATGCAGTTAACTGGCAACTAGAAAACACTCAAAGTAAAACCACAAAGTACGATTCTATGCTTTTCCATTTTAAAAATTTGCCAATAAAAAATGGTAAAAAATTACAGCACCCACAAGATAATGCGCACAAAGATTTTTTTTGTTGGTATAAAGTCAATTAATTTACTAAAATGAGTATATCTATGTATGCACGAAGCTGCATTTCATTCGAATGCAGTGTTCTAGGAGCAAAAAGCCTGCTCCGGGGGCTCGTTGCATAATTTTCATGGTTACAATCGGTTATCCATTTTAGTCTGTTAATCTCTTAGTGCGTGCGACACACCCTCACAGAGCAAGTCGCCTTCCGTGAAACTATAGGGAGGGTTCCAAGGCAGAGGCGAAAGAGATCACACTGGGAGCAGAGTTGACCTACCTCCTTCCATTCAAAGGCGATATGTGTAGAGTGCTGAGGCATTCCATCATGAGGAACAAAGTATATTGAGGGGCCGAATGCATGAATTTAAAGAAGTGCATAAGGGCTTAAGACTTGGCAAAGTTCAAAGTCTTTTCAGCGCGTGCAAGAGCTAAACAAATCCTTAAATAATCACCAGGTCTCAGACGGCAATGGCAACAAAGCATTGCACTGCCTCTCATTTCTTTGGAGCAGCGCCCTCCATGCTTTCTAGGTACACGTCCTACGCCAGCCATCATGGCAAATTCGGTACTGTAAGAAAGCACTCACAAGCCACTAACGCAAGAAATCAAGCAGTGATACTTGATCTCCTTAACAACATCAGCAGAATCAGGTGTTGCGCTCGGTCTTGTAGTTGGAATCAGAACTGCATGTGTCTGTTGAACATCAATGGTGTCCTAGACTAGACGTTGGAACACTGTTCTATCGCAAATGTCTAACAAGGAAGACGGAACCAAACACAATCCCGTATGGGAAAGGTTCGCCTCAGTAGTACCCTCCACATCTATGCTCGGACACATTCGGCGGACACTTAAGGATTTGTCTGGCTTTTGTGCCGGTGGGCTGGAATTCGGGCCATGCTCAGCTCTTTTTGCTGTGTTCTCTCTGGAATGCATTTATCGGGCCTCTTTTACTGCTTTCTTCCACACCATGTAAAGTCTTGAGACGCTACAGAGCTAAGCTCATGCATCATTCTCGACCTTTATCTTGTGGGAAATTCAGGCAATCTCTCTCCTAATACAAATGTCTAGTGAATCGTAGCTGATATAAACTAGGACAAAAGTCGTTTTAAAAGTCAAGTAGGGTTTCAAGACTACTCTTGGGGTTAGGCAAAGTGCGCGCATTCTAAGTGAAGAAGAGGGTATAGTGTGTTGGTACGGCCAGAAGGCCAGCCCACAACTGCAAGGGCCAGACTAATGCAAAGGAAATCACCCGACACCAGGTAGTCACCTAAACAGAGCGTCACAGGAAATGAGTACACAAGGGTTAATGCTCATAAGTGCCACTATGAATGGTTCTCGATCTCCTTTTATCGGTGGCCAAGTTGTTTTCATGCCTATTGCCCGTTATTTGTCTAACATGTATCTCAGCCTAATTGATAAGTAAATTATTTTAAAACAAAATTATTGGATGTTTAAATGAATATATTTTTGCCTTAACTGTTTTAATGCTTTGGTACTTTGTTTATTTGCTTCGTAAACAAAATTCTACCACAGTTCTCCTTTTGGTTTGCTTGGCTTGCTGGTTTTGGGGTGTTGTTACTAGTTTTACTTTTTTACATGATGATGCGGACTTCCACCAATACAGTCTGTTTTTTTCAATCGACTTATTATTTTTTCCTGCTGTGCTGGGCTTTTGTTCCTCCGTTTATGTGTTGTGCCATAAATTTATGCTTATTCTAGATGTCCACAAACCTTGAGAACGTTGACAGTCTTTACTCAGCAATTGTAGCCCTTCTCCATAGGGATCACAAGAATTTGAGTCGCAGTTTCGAAAATCGAATAAAGGGCTTTTCTTCTGGTATTGTTTTAACCGTGCATTGGTCTTTTGGAGTGTTTCTCGAATATTTGTTGTCACCTTCCCCTATTCGGTCGTTTATGTTCCTTGAACTTTTTCCTTAATATTTTCCCTTTTTCGAATGTATACCTGCTTGTGCACTTGGAATATTCTCTTGGACTATTTTCATGCCGCTTTTATGTGATGAGATCATCCTTTATAATGCTATCTAACGTGATGTAGGTGTCGAATATCAGGACCAACTCCACAGAGGTCTGGACATAGCCTCTGATGTTGTTCAGGAAAATCTGGACAAGATGCGTTTTGAGTGCAAAAACCTACAGTATGAATGTGAAATCTTTGTAAAGGAAATTAGGGAGGCCGAGGAAAGACATCGGAAGATGTTTGAAAAATCATCACAGAGAGACATTGAAAAGAAGAATCGGTTGTCTCAGATACGGTAGTGCCCACATTTTAACTATGACATATGAACTTGCATTTAGTTTTATTTTCTTCATCCTCGTTTGTATTTCGCCAAAGGTCTGAGATGCGAATGTATGAAAATATTCTGCAAATTGGAATCGAGGGTATAGTAAATGGGAAACTTCGAGGTTGTCGAGTTCACTTTTTCATTAGCTTTGTTCATATGTAGTTGTTCATGCTTATTCTTTATTTCTCTCTTCTTTGCTTCTTCTGAAATAATTCTCTTTTCTTAAATGTAGGTGTAATATTTAAATCCAACGGTCTTGGTTATTGCGATTTGGAAATATCGGACAAATTGGAGGGGGGTAAAGATGTCAGCAATGCCTCTCATCGTCAATACTCTCGGGTATGCTCAAAAGCTGATGCTGTTTGTAAAAATACCCTAGTTTGTACAATGTATTGTTCCTCTTTTAGCTCAATGATCTTTACGCTCAACTTGAGGTGTCAGGACAATGGAAATCATTTGTATAGATCTTCATGTGGCTTCTTTACTAATTAGGCAATTACTCTTGGTGTAGGGCGTAAACAATTATTTGCGCCCCTGCTTTCTGTACATAGGATTTCTTGTTATAAGCCCTTTGTCACCTTTCCGGATCGTGTCTGTTTCATTTTTTGTTAATGATGTTACTTTTCTACTTTTAATTTGCAGTAGAAATTTTTGTTTGGCGTGCTTTACAAGTATTGATAGTCTAATGCCGATGTGGCAAAACTATAGGATCCCCCTTCGGCATCAACAAAAACTGTACTATATCAACAGTAGTTGCGCTCTTGGTAAGTATAGTGGCTGTGCGGTTACTCCTTTTCTCCTAACTCGAGATGGGGTATTTTCATGCGCATTTTGAGTTCAGCTATTCTGAGGAAAAAGCACATCAACACAGTATGGTGTTCAGTCTGTTGTTGTTAAGGTCGGTGTTCGTAATCATGTTACACTAATTCCAGTTCGCACTGGACTTCATTTTTACTGGATTAGTGCGGCTACCGTTGAAGTCATTTGATTCCATGCCAATGTTTCTCTTGTTTGGTGAGTGGTATTGAAAATACTTTTTTCCCATCGCAACAACTGTCTTTCATGCACAATTCTTGTACTTTTTATGCACACTTTTGCTACTTAGCCTAGTTTTTGTGATACGAGTTACCTGCAGCAAGTATCTGCGAAATTTTAAAGCTCTTGTTTACTTACTGATCGCATTTTTTATCAGTTCCTTCAATTGTACGCTTACAAAGCCATTTCACTGATGCCAACAATAATAGTCTCTCTCGTTGTATCCCATCAATGCAGGAACTGCTCTGCATCCGCATATTGTGTAGGTTCCCTAGTCCTTCGGTCGTCACTTACCTTTGACAGGTTATTAGTCTGTTCCAACACCCTTCTTCGTGGTGCATATGCATAAGCAGTGGTACGAACTGGCGTGTTGGGCGTAATTACCGCCGATTATCTGTGGTTTGGAATTACATCCCATGGCATTTTGATGGATAATGATGCTGGGCGCGCACATTACCACGTCTATAAAAAAGAATGCTAATTTTCCAGAGTAGTCAGCGGAGGTGCAGCTTATTACCCACCCATCATCCAATTACCTTCCGTGGTCAGTTGTTGCCTCTCACTCTCCTCTGTTAGCCTCCATTCTTCAAACACACAGCACGAAAATTAACTCTTCTAATCAGGAGTCTGAAAATGTAGGTCAAATTAAACCTTGGCTGTCTTCCTTATCATTTATTCGCTGGGTGTTTTGGTAGGAGGTAGTAGTGGCTTTAGGTGTTTATTCTGCGAAAATGAAAGTGGAATTTGTTATTAAAGTTTGTTTGAAGAAATAATGCCACGAAGTCGACCCCAGTTAACTTTTAGCACAAGAATATTTGAATCTCAGCAGGTACCACTCTGAGGAGAGGCAGGTGAAATTACGACTCCGAAGTTGGGCAAAGTTGCTGACATTATCACGCAATTTGTCGGAAGCTACCACACTGTGAAATATCTGGTGGAGCGCTACTTTTCGGGTCCGTTTAAAGGGCATGTTGGTAGCTGCCAAATTCGGTGATGGTGTTACATACATCATTGGAGTTAAGCATGCAGATACTATCGTGTCCATCTCAATTAACAATCGTTTTGTTACTACATTTCTCAGCCGTAGCTTATTCTGATGGTCACAGACGTGACATCGTCATCATGCTTTCTACCGAATAAGTGTCGTGCATGTGCGTAGGAGAAAGCCGTGATTGTTGAGGTCCGATTCGATTCACCGAACGGCGAACAGGTGTGCTGACCCATTATGGTCAATAATTGCATGTATTACATCTACGAGGGCGTACAGCGCCCACATAACACACCTGTGGGTCCCAACAGGTGCAGCACTTTGGGGAATCGTAGAAGGAAGAGTTCTGGTTCATTACAAGTAGCCATGTGTCTCCTCCGAGGTTTGACCAACTGTGTTATTTACGATCTTATGTGGTCGCGAAAATTGGTACATCAGACGAGGTCGTAGGCTAGTCTCTACGCTGCCATACACGCGTCGTAATATGGCCACAGAAAATGCCCTTTATTTATCTCTCCAATGCTTCCTTTGTGGTTTAGTGTTTATCAGGGAACTGATGTTTCTAGGGCTGGATGGTTCATCGGCGATTCCCAGTTTGTTGACCACGAAAGGAAGGCCCTTGAAATTATACAAATTTTCAACATCTAGTATTTGGTTGATTCCTTGAACCAATCGTATCGCTTCTCACTAGGACCATAACATGGTGAGTTGTATGTAATATCACGATGACATCCCAGCGAGGTAAGATTAAGGTCTCTCCGTCTAGGTCGGCGGACCGACGCACTTTTTTGCTACCACTATCTGTAAATGGCATTAGTATTCTAGTAAGTGGTTATCGTAGCACAACTCATTGTTTCCCGTACACTTACTTCACATTTCGCACAGATGCAATCACGGTCGGTATGTCGTTCGTTTATCATTTTCATTGAGCGGAAAAATGCACAATTAGGCACACATAGTTGTTCGTGCATACTTCGGCAAAGATCAGAAGCAATTAACTGAGTGGTTAAATTACCCCTGGACTGAAAAGTGAACCGAAATGCACATACTTACACACGACAAAGATGGGCGTTTTATCGCGGACTGGAGTGGCGGCTTGGTTGCACAACTGGTGGTCTTTTTTAAGGAGGCCCTTAATCGGTGTCACAATTTGCTTCTCCAATCCCAGTGAAGATAGTGTGGAAGTTGCAGGTCAGTTACTCAGCGTGACAAGGATGTACCTTGAGTAGTCTGTACGCTGAAATCGGCAAATATTGGTTCTCTCATATCGGAGACTTGATAGGGAACTGAGCTTATATTTGTTAATCAGAAACGCAGATGAAGCCACTTTAGCGGTATTTTAACACTTTTAGGTGATTTTTAACGATCGCATGGATTTGCGGGGTGTCATTGACAGTCGCATTGAAATCTAAAAGTGTCCTCTCAGGATGCGGAAATCTCGTGAATGTCCCATGAAAGTCGATAAATGAATGATGGGTTGATAGTAATAACAGCACTGTGATTTTTATATTGAATACGGTTTGTGTCAACGGATGCGATGTTCAGTTCTGCTACTTCGTATCAGACAGTCTGTGAATCGAAATCTGCTTAATGAGTTTTGAGATTGACATGCATCGCTGAATGCCAGCTGATGTGCGAAGTCGTAAAAAGGCAATAGGTGCAGATCTCTAGTTGTTCCAACGAAATCCTCTTTTTGTCTTTCCAACGAGTGCTCTTCTTGACGCATGTTGCTCCGCATTTGAAAAAATGCGCGCAGTCTTAAGCGGATTTTGTTAAAACGACAGCAAGCATGTGCTACCATGCTTCTACTAGCCAATAAGCAGTCGCATTTAAACGGGGAAGCATAACCAAGATTGGGGTTATTGCCGATTTGCTGAAGACGCCTACAGATCCTGAAGAGCTTTTTGCTATAAATCCTGCAAGGATAGTTGATTTGCCAAGGCGTTGGCATCTAAGGGAGGGGATAAGAGACAAAATTTTCACTAGTTTCTTTTGTTTGAAAAGGCGAGAAGTTCACGTGGCAAAGGTGCCGTAATTGATGAATAATGAAATGCTGGGGAGGAATTAAATGGGTCTTTGAAGGTGTTCAGAATGTTACAACCTATTTTCTAAATTGAGTGAGTTCTCCAATGGAGGGCTTGACCTCTTTTTCACATTTTTTCCATATCAGGACGTGAATCAAGGTTTCTATAGCTATCCGGTGTGAAACAATTTAATATACACTGCGACTTCTTGAAGTTCAATCTCATTTCTCCGCCACCTTGGCGAGGCCAATGCATTGGGTGGTGAAACTGCAAATATCCTTGATGAGGCTGAGAGTCTAACTTTTGTGCAGTGAACCGCTTGAATACCACTTGCGAGGTTTGTTCGCTTTTGGTAAATTTTTACTCTCGATGTAAGAACTCATAATCGTGCTTTTGACCATCGCCACCCGAGCAATCGTTCGACGTATCACGAGGACATCGACTTAGCGGATGGAAATCTCGAGAGCTTTGTAGTGACACTCCAAGCGCCTAGTTGAGATGCCCTTTGGATAAATGCCAAGCTTTCTCATGACCTCTTCTCAGTTTTCCAACGGCTCGCCAAGTTAATGCACCTTGTTAACATGGCAAGTAATTTTGACTGAAGTGATTAGTGCCATATGAAAGTGAAATTAAGTAAAGTTTAGTTATGGTTATCTGCGATTTTAATCTTAAATCATTGAAAGAGTTGCTAAAAAGGTATCCATACTCGTTAGGTCTAAAGATAGGCCTTTCATCTTTTCAAATAAACCTGAAAATTGATTCAAGCCCGAAAAAGTCATGAAGATTGCAATGCAGATGATCCAAAGCCCTAGAAATTATAAGTGGCTATTTCTGCAGACATAAAAGGGAAGTGCCTTGGAGCATTTAACACATGGGGAGGAGGGGGTGGAAAGGGTGGGACGTTCGAAGTTGCTTTTGCGTTCTTAGATTTAACCAAATCTCGATGTCGCTACGTGAGACAGAGGGCAGTCAAGTGAGCAGTTGGCGGGAGTCACGTACCGTGCTAGTGAGAATGTGTCTAATTTTGAGGTCACAGCCTGATGTGTCCTCACCTATCCACTTGCCCACTCCCGCCCTTCGCGTTACCTCTAATTAGTCAAGCGCACACAATTCTGTAAACCGGCCTGTCCTCGAAGCGGACCAGCGGCCCATTAACACTGCAGCAAACAGACGCTCGCACACACCAACACACATGTGCCTTGTTTGAAACGGCAGAAAGAGCAAGATTAAAGGACATGCATGATGGGACGCCACGCATAAGAGATAAAAAGGTATAGATGTACGCGTATGTTCTCTAGTGAAATAATCCTCATAAATTAAAAACTGTACATTGGTTGTTGTGTCGTGACCGACTACTGGTTCCACTGTCATAGTATGCTAGTATCACGACCAGTTGAACACAGGCGTCGGTGGCTGTGTCGTAGCTGTTGTTGTGGTTTCGCGATCCTGTTTCAACGAGGAAAGAGCTGCAGCGGCAAAATACCAAGGCTGAGTGAAGATCGATGCCACCGCCTCCTGTGGGATGAGGTCGCGCCAATTAGGTGATAGGAGTGGCGGATTTAGTGGGGTCGGTATGCCTTCTGTCGGGGCAACAAGTTCCACGGTTTTCACTGATGCAAGTGCCGCTGCAGCAATGGAGGCCGCCCTTAAAAGAAAAGCTGTCTGGCTGTTGCAATTGCTAGGACATCTCTCAGATACTAATGGAGATAGCTCCACTGATTGGGACTTGTCACCGCTCTCCAAGTTTGAACGGTCCTTTGTAGGAAGTTCCTCCGACAGTACATTTCTTTGTGACACCCCAGTAGATTCCATTAGCTTCGAATAATGAGACTGTATGTAAGAGCGCAGATCGTCAGTTACAGTTTTTCCTGACTCATCGGATTTGGGAGATGATGTTCCAGGTATTGATTCATTAGAAGTAGAGGGAGGTGGGAATGTTTGTGTATTACACAGGTATGGAGAAATATAATCTGGATTAGGGAAGGAACCTGAGCTTCCGTCACTACTGCCATTTTTGCCATTTGGATAGGCAATCGGAGGACTGTAGTTTGTGGGACTGTTAACATCTTTGCCGGGATTCTGTTTCTTCCATTTTGTACGTCGGTTTTGGAACCATATTTTCACCTGCGTCTCGGTAAGATTAAGCGCCAAAGCCAGATTAAGGCGTTCATACACCGAAAGGTAGCGCGTTGATTGGAATTTATTCTCCAAAGTGACTAACTGTTCATATGTAAAGGCAGTGCGTGCGCGACGAACTTTTCGACCGCCGATGGAGGTAGTACCACAACTTATGTGCGACACAGGAATATCGGCGTCACCGTTCGCATCAGGCTGACTGGAATCAGTTGGCCATTCGTTTTGCTTGCTTTGGTTATACGATGATTTCTTCCCTTCTTTATCCTTCTCCTCCCCTTGGGATGATGAGGCACCACTTTCAAAGTCGCTTAAATGGTTCTTATCTAGAGATTCGTATCCAACCTCAGCATGCCTCCTTTTGGCATCGGCTAAGCTACTTGAAATGTCTCCACGTTGTTTTATGTAGCATACGTTTTTGTAGAGGGATGATGCATTGAGGTCCACCTTTGTGATTGTTCTAGCACCTGCAAAGAGGTGGAAGTTAAGAATTTCGTCTGCAACTGTTTATTAACAATTGACTGGTTGGCACAGCTTACGGCTTTTTTAATTGATATCTTGTGAATGAGGCATAAAGAAGCGGTACCACAATTCAGCTTAACACACAAACCGAATACGGAGTAGTTGGAACACAAAACTGTCGCGTTTGTATTGTTGCTAATTTCGTCCTGTACAATTAAGAAGGGAACGAAGGGTGCGTCTAGTCAGTTGGTGCTTGGAAAAAACCTTATTGGTGGGAGTTTATACTATTTCATGGAAAGTTAAAATGCTTTAGCTAACTATCATCGTGTCAAGCTATTCAAATTTAAGCATATCATTCAATAAGTGCATTATTCAACAAACAATCAATTTCATTTCCCTTTCTTGCTAGGCTCAGTGCTTACCACTGCCTTATTTTTCGTCAAGATTACCACATTTCACGCAAAAAAAATTATCAACCCATAAACTGCCGATATTTAATCTGCTCAAAATAAACAGTCTTCATCGGGACCCATTGCGCATAGTTTTTGGTGCTAAAAGGAACGCTAACTAGATAAATGTACAACCAACCTTTGACCAAACAAATTGGCGGTAAAATGTGCTATACGCTGAAGGGTGGTGGAAAGTTAGCCAAGATTACATTGACTCTTTCGTTACAACGCATAATGGGGAGAACGCTTCATGTCCTTCAGTTAGCAGTTGAGCTGTCGTTCAAAATACAATTCGGAATATTATATGGAGCAAAAAATAGCTAACTAAAATGTATTAATGAAGCACAAATGGTGATGATAGGGCTTGAACCCATGATTGTGGCGATTTCCTAAGCTACTAAACGAGAAACACGAAGCACAAAATCCTTTAATCCATTGGATTTCCCACCGTGCTACAGCAGATGTGGTAGTAATGCTATACATTCTCTTTTTTGACACTTAGTCTCAAGTGTCCACAACTGAGCACATGTATCGGCCACCTGACAACGACGAACCTATTCAACTGCATTCAACACTACGGAAAGGCTGCTACTAGGGCGATGTCAAGATCATGCGAATATACCAAGAAAAAGTGTTGTATTAACACTACGTTTGATGCATTTCACTGATGAAGGCCTTTCGCTCCTTCCTTCCTTCCAAGGAGTTATACAGACAGATCGAAGTAGAATAAGCTGCAGCTGCTCCAGCCTTTTGTAGGGCTGCGTCCGAGTCCACACCCTTTGAACTAAATGTTATGCGCCCCTTCACGGCTGGCGCACCCATAGAAGTAAGGGAGAAATGAGGGCTTCGTTTTGATGTCAATTCATAATGAACATCACAATGACATAAGCTGAAGATCCCTTCCACTCCTCGAACCGACTAACTTCTCCAACAACTCACTTTTCAAACAAAGAGTGGCAGAATCAACAAAATTAGTCAATTGTGATCCACATGCAAAAAGTTTAGTTTAAAGCGCAAATAAGTGAACTTTCGTTCTCACTTCTGTTAGCAGATTTGATGCAGCTAGGCAGCAGATTATGATTTCTTTGGTCAATTTATACATCGTTTCGGAAATTGTCTTCAGCAATTCTTATTTGTTTCTTGTTGTCTGAAGTTGTAATACTATTGATGAAATGCACGTTAAAGCTGATTTCAGCAGTTTTGCACCAATGTTAGCGCTCAACCAAACAGAAATAAACTGAGATAAAATAGAATAAATTGGAATCATATAGGCAGCAATGTAAATTGTTTTGATAGTGATACACACAAAAAAGTAGGGAAATGTACTTGTGATATGCAGGTTAGTAGTGTATCCCAAACAAACATTATCGCAAACAATCTGTATGAATGGTAGATGTATTGGTGCAACTCATTGGTATCTGAATTAAAATAAGGAACTGTCATTATTTGATCTTGAAATGAAGAGCTGTCATTGGAACTTACATGTACTCTTAGATGCCTGAAGGAGGTCTTGGATGAGGAAAGAGCGAGAAGTAGCCATTGCTCTGGCTTCATCATCGCCTACCAAAAGCACCTCCTCGATAGCATTCATGCACATCCGTTTCTCCTTCTCTATGGTCACTTCCTCCTCTGCCTCATAACTGTACTCATTCTTCGCTCTTGGTCTCGGAGGCGATGGTGTTGTTTGTCGACGCTTCGTTGAATGCTTCCGATGATGCTGCTGTTCCACGCCCGACATCCGACCAACTGAAGGTTATGTGGCCGAGCGTGGTGTTTATGAGTGTCACCAGATTCGTCTCCTTCACTTTCACTCCCTTGTCTCCGTGTCCTCTCGTACGCTTCTCCTTGTGGCGGCATATGCACGCACGCACACAGCCGAGGGGAGGAACGAGTTAGGAGGGGAGAATGTGCCTAAGGGTAGCAGATTTGGGAATAGCGTCGCGCCCCACCTGATTGGTGCGCGATGCTGTTGGGTACTGGCCAATGGTAAGTGTGCGTTATCTAATGGGCAGGTTGTGATCCACATACTTAGCCATAGACCCACTTGATAGTAATCCGATCCGTACATATTGGTTTCTACTGCTATCAGTTGATAAGGGATCTCTTCATTGTTTCGATTAAATCAAAATTATTTCCTTGCCAGAATTTCTTCAGATTCTAGGACTAACATGTTTGGCATCTGGTTGAAACATCCGAGGTGAAATTTGGAAAGAATAATTGTTTGGAAAATGGGACTAAATAGAGTTTCATCACATTGAGGATGGTCTGAGTTTTGTTTCGGAATTTCAAACACCTGACAATATTTAAATTATACTTTATGCCCTTAAACTTATGTGAGCTGTGTGACTTAGCAAAAAACGGCTTACTTAAGCTAAAGTTACAGTGTGTTATGATCGACTCACCTTAAAATCTTGTGATCCACCATAATTTGTGCTGTAAATTTTGCTTTTTCTCACCATCTTCAGCAGTTTCCTGAGCTAACTGATAGCGGTCAAAGGAAAAGAGGTTGTTGCCATTAATTCAAAACCTTAATGCGTTTTGAGCGTCACTTCAGACCTATTAAAGTGATCGCAAAGTTGCCCTAGTACCACTGAGTTTTTAAACCCTATTGCCATTTATTAGCACGCATTTCATCCTCAAGGGAAACCATAATTTTAACAAAGAGCATGTTTACGACAAGGTTATTCGCTAAAACATTGTTAACTTATTAAGTGAGGCAGAAGTGTAAAATGAACAAGATATATTACCGCGCAATACAAAAATTCTCGGCATTAACTTAAAGGCGAATTCATCGCTTTTTCTCGAAAACGTTCCTTTATTTATAATACTGACTGCCTTCTTAATCTTCACTAAATGTCCATCAAGACAACCGGTAAAAAGTGAAACCCTTCCCATTTTAGGAATCCCACGGCTTTATGCACTGATTTGATTTCGTTAACTCCTCATGAGGTCTTGATGTTGGTGTCTGTGACTATGTTGGAGTGTAATGTTTAGTCTGGTCTGGTCGATTCGTTACTGTGCCCACCCAGGACCGTTTCATGGTCTGTCAGGGGTTTCACAACTGTAGCTACCAGTCTATGTTCAAAAGTACTGAATGAAAGGTCGGTACGAATTATACTATGCGTCCACAAAATCAAAGAACGCGGATGATAGTTACCATTACCTATGGGTTCCCACTACCATTTCAATTTGGAGAATTTGAAAAGCAAATCCTTCCACAATCTAAACTCTTATATGTAGTTGCCGACGTGAATCGGTACTCCTGAACTTGTGGGTAAAGGTGTGGGGTTGTTTTTGTGAGTATCCACTTCAAACTCCAAATAGTTCTACACGGCTAATTAGACAAATCCCCGTCCCGTCTGATGGCCTAGTCGTGACGGTAGTCTTCGAAGCACCTCGCTTCTTGTGGCGTCATGAATGGAGGAGTGGTTTGCGCATTTTTGGCTATGTTCAAGGCCTTAGGTCAACTGTTTTGGCAATTCCGCACTCAACAATGTAGTGAGGACAAGTAATCGGCAGTAGACAAACCACAACGGATAGAACGAGAATTTGACAGTGGAATTTGTAAAATGCTATCCCACACGGGATAAAAAGCAACGAAAATTAAACGTCTCTCATTTCTTTACAATCAAGAGTTTAATAAAATCCCTCTCAATTTAGCAGCCACGTCTCGGATTTCTAAAAAAAAAAACATAATCCAATCATTAACCTTCATTTGGGGCCGTAAGTTGGAAAAGTACCACATGAGAAGTTTACTGTAAATGTCTCGTTTGGCACGGTTATAATTAAGAGTGGCTCTGTAAAGCGTTTTAATTTGGTGGGTTGGCTTGCCTCGGGGCTACCCAAGCGGCTCCAATTTCCTTCTCTTCGTCGTTATAAAAGAAATTGATAAGGCGGTTATTTGAGAAAGCTATTAGTCTTGATACTCTGTGATGACTTCAATTTATAAACTAATTTGGCGAAGAACGTCGAGCGTGCGAAATGTGAAAAAGCACAATCGAATTTTATGATTTAGAAACGTATCCTACCTATAGGTAGACTTTAACATTATCCGTTCAGTTTGGTTTCATAAAATTAATTCAAATTGTTTATTTACCGCAAAAAACGAGAGGCACTGCCGCCGCAGCCGCCCCCGCTGTTATTCGCATCGGCTGTTGAGAGGAGAGGCTTTAAGAAAAAAAGTCTTTCGTTTCCTGCTTATAAGGCTGCATCACTTCATGTCGCGTTCAGTAAGATGATATTGGAATAGTGAGGAATAATAATGTACTGCCTTTCGCATCGCTAGCTGCATGAATTGTAGGTGATGGTGAACAAAGGTGAAGCGTTTCGCGCTATTTAAACGCACACGGG